GCCTAATTCACAGTTCAAGTATTAAACCCGCAGGATGAAGAACCAGAAAACTTCTTGATAATCAGATAAATCCCTTGCTCTGTTTATTTCTACCTACTGGAGATGTGTTTTTATCATAGTGAGAACTTTGAAAATCTGATCCGCACCTGCGAAACTGAAGCAGTACAGTTCATTCTAGGAAGATAATAAAGTGTTTAATAGCAAATCAAATCATCTAACTGCCGGTCTACGCTGACTGGCAGTGGCTCTCCAGGGTTGCAGTCAGGGTTTTTCCTCCCTTCCCTCTTTACCATCAGAAATCTGTGGCTGAAAATATAAATGTGACACTCTTCTCAGGTTCAGCGTTAACCTCCAGTGATGACAGTGGCCAAACAGAAGCTTTCGCTGCAGAAAGCACATTATCCCTGTTCTTCTATAAGATCCATAGCTGGGTCAGTTACTTCTGAAAGCACATTTATTTCAGTAGGTCTAATCTGAAGCAAACGAACATTTTGACAGTGCCTTTGCTTCAAAAGGCAGCCTAAAAAAACCCTGAATGGGTGATTCTTATGAAAACCAACAGGCTTTCTACACAGGTCAATGCAGAGACATGTAACTCAAACAGGCTGCAGACTCACAAGTTGCTGGTGAAGGGGGTATACCCAGAAACTCAGATATATAATAAGCTATGCACCAAATGATGTTTCAGTGATGTGTTTATGATGTTTCCAGGTGACTTCCAGGTTCAGTGAGATTCACATATACATGGTCATGCGCTTATTGAATGTGCATAAATTGGGGGGGGGGGGCTCTCCATAACTGTTCCAGGGAAGAGAAAAATCACAAATCCCTAGCTGCCACTATTTTCAGCTAACAAGGCAGTGGGGAGATTTGGGCAGCTGTCCAAGTACCGCATTCCATCCTGGAGTTCCCTTTTTCAGCTAAGAGGTCCACATGCCAGTGGCGGGCAGGGCACGAATGTAAATTTGTTCTTCCATACAGTAAGCTAGTTTCTACACACATCCCTCTCTACCCTCCATCCAGGCAAGCAGGAGACACGATGAGAGTTCAAGGAGACATTCTAGATAAACAAAAACACTGGAGGTGCGAGTAGTATCAGTGAGGATCAGTGGCCTGGGGAGAGTTCCGAGGGCCAGAAAGAGAGGCTTCAAGGGGCGCATTTGGCCTCCAGCCCTGAGGTTCCCTACCTCTGCATGAACATCTACAATACATAGCCTTTCTCCATTCTAAACCTTGGTTCAATGATGGTGAGTTTCTCTGCTTACCCTCATGATTTGCTGGAAGAATCAAGGCATCTTCAGCAGCCTTTTACCTGAATGACTTATATATACAGTGGTACCTCTGGTTGCGAATGGGATCCATTCCGGAAGCCCGTTCACAACCTGAAAAGAACGCAACCCGCATCTGTGCACGCGCGGATCGCGATTCACCGCTTCTGCGTATGCGCGTGACGTCATTTAGTGCGTCAGCGGTGAAACCCGGAAGTAACCCTTTCTGGTACTTCCGGGTCGCCGCAGGACGCAACCTGAAAACGTGCAACCTGACCATTAGGTCCAGTCGTGACCGACTCTGGGGTTGCGGCGCTCATCTCGCTTTATTGGCCGAGGGAGCCGGCGTACAGTTCCGGTTCATGTTGCCAGCAAATATAACCTGCTTCTGGCGAACCAGAGCAGCACACGGAAACGCCATTTACCTTCCCACTGGAGCGGTACCTATTTATCTACTTGCACTTTGACGTGCTCTGACTATACAACTTCAAGCAATTCCTTCCTGCACCTTAAATACACTTGCCAGGCATCAGGTGAGAATAGGCTGTTGGAAACACATTTCTGAAAGGTGAACCACCACTACCACAATCCTAGGTCCCTGTTAACAACACACAAGTGCATGAGCCTTTAAAAATCAATGCCAGGTGGAAGAATTATAGAGCTGTTTATGCACTCTGAGCAAAGCCTCCCTGAACACAATGCCAGATATCTACAGCCTGCCCCAGGGCAGCTGCTCTGGAAAATGTGGAAGGATTGCTGATGAGCCAATAAATCCAAGAACCAAGAATCTACTGGCAAGCTTAAAGAAGACCTGAGCTTCATGCAAGAATCACACATGTGTAAGTTGTGTAAATGTTTATCGATCATTTTTGGGTGCCTGGCTGTATAAAGCTCAGCCACATGATCTTCTAGAGATAGATAGATACAGTGGTGCCTCGCAAGACGAAAAGAATCCGTTCCGCGAGTCTCTTCGTCTTGCGGTTTTTTCGTCTTGCGAAGCAAGCCCATTAGCGGTTTAGCGGATTAGCGCTATTAGCGGCTTAGCGGGCTTAGCGGATCAGCTGATAAGTGGCTTAGCGGCTTGGGAAAAAGGGGGGGGAAAGGAAAAAAACCCCGCAGGAACTTGCAAGACATTTTCGTCTTGCGAAGCAAGCCCATAGGAAATTCGTTTTGCGAAGCACCTCCAAAACGGAAAACCCTTTCGTCTAGCGGGTTTTCCGTCTTGCGAGGCATTCATCTTGCGGGGCACCACTGTATTTGTATATAAAAAATACAAATAGAGATACAATTACACCAGGGCAGATCTTAAAGGCATGAAACCATCAAGCCAGTTCCTTGTGCACCGTCTGCAAGCGATGGGAGAAACAAAGGTATCATCCCCTTCCGAAGCAGGAGGGAGAGCTATATCAACTGCTCTTGTTACAGGATGAGCACAGAATGTTCCAGCTATACAATTTAATGAAGGAAATGAACGGGTGAATGCAAAAAAATACCACTTCAAAGGACACTTGCTGGTCACGGTGCTCCTACAACAGGGGTTCTCAACCTTTGCAACATCTGTGGGCACCTTTGGATTTTTTGAGGGGGTACTACAGATATTACTCTTCTGATCAAGTCTCTCTCACTGACCCTGAATCAGCAGCCGCTCCTCAAACAATAGGCAGAAAGAAAATGTGCACACATTCACTTCCTTTTCCAAGGGATCTGTTTGAAACCTGGACCCATTAACCTTGGCCTGGAAAAGAACATAGAGCTTGAAGAGGAAGTGGGAAAGAGTGCCCCTCTTCCAACTTCCTCCTTCAGCTCTATGCACTTTTCAAGCAAGAAAAGAAGTAACCGCCTCACCTTGTCATGACCAAGGGGACAGTGTATGTGTGTGTTCAGAGAATGGGAATCAGGGCAGGACCTGAAGGCTGCTGTTGTGTTCACTGGCACCACATTGGCAACTCCTGCCCTAGAAGATCACAAAATCTTTTTCTAAATCAAAGTTACAGATAAAGTAACTCTAGACTGAGTTTGCCCCAGAAGTCATTCTTCTCAGGAGCTGGGAACCCCCAGAATTCTACAGAGACATTCAAGTTTGACAGACACCTGGGGAGAGAATAAATGCTGCACAACAGCCTCAAGCTTACACTGGCCCACACTCACACACACCCAACCTCTACACACCCACACACACCTCGCCCCACAATTTATTAGCAGATACTTTATGTATACTTTACCACGCTAGAGGAGGGCTTGGGCATCGTCTTTCGAGCTCTGTGGATCTTGACGCCGGTAGGCACCGCTGCTGATTTCTTAGCCTCCATTTCATTCCTACCCTCCCCAGACTTAGCCGGCAGAGCAGCCTGTGCCTGGGAGAAGGTGCTCATCGCCTTTGCTTTGCCTCCTCCTGCGGGAAGTGTCTTCGTGGCAAAAGCCCCACTAGAAGTCCGTTTGGGCGGCCCATGAGCCATCTGCTTCGGTAAAATGTAGCCATTGCTCCCCGTAACCGAAGTATGCATGAAATCGTTTGCTTTTATGTGGTTCTGCTTCCCAGTGTCACTGTCCCTCTCAGAAATGCCATTCTCTGCTACTCTGCTCAGCTTCGCAGTGGAGTCCCCTTGGCTCACTTTTACACTATCCTGAGGGTTCTTAGCTGCATTTGTGTGGCTCCTGGCTTCGTTGCTTTCATAGGAGCCATTGGTTTCACCTCCAGGGGCCATCTTTGGCTCTCCAATTTGCTTCTCTATGGCATTTTCACCTGCTGCCATAGCATTAAATCCTGGAGGCAGAAAAAGAGGGGGATAGATGGAGTGAAGGCTGAAAGGAACATACAGGCCACAGCTCAGCGGCAGAGCACCTGCTTTCTATGCATATAAAGTTTCAGATTCAAACCCCAGCAACTCCAAGTACAATCCCCTCGGCCAGTGTATAAAATACTGACCTAGATGGACCACTGGTCTGACTCAATATACAGCGACTTCCTATGTTCTTCCAAGCATAAGGAAACCTTGGCTATTTGATGCCAAAAGCACATCTCCACCATCCAATTCTCAAAGTAAGATGACTCTGGGAACCTGAAAGCAGCACCTATTTCCCCACTTATGACTCCCAGCTACTGGTTTTCAACAGCATACTGGAAGAGAGAGCTCCTGCTCTTTGGAACTCCCTTCCATTCCATGTCAGACAGGTGCTGTCTCTGTCATCTTATCAGTGTCTACCAAAGACCTTCCTCTTTCACCCAGCCTTTTATATGTGATATTTATATTCCAATCTGGATCTATATTGAAAATATTTTAAATATACGCCTCCCCAAAGTGTGCCCCAGTCATTTATGCAACAATTCAGATATACATCTGAAGAATTTATTTTATTATTCTTAGAATTTGTAAAGGCAGTGCTATTGTATTTAACAGTTTATTAAAATGATTGTATTATTGCTTATTCTTTAACCCACAAACTAGCTGGCTCCTTTGATAACTATACCAATATAGGGGGAAACTTGTCTAGGCACCCACTAAAGATATTTTTATTCAAGAACGGCTTTCCACAATATGGATTACTTATTGTATACAGTATTTGCAGATATGGTTTCAATCAACTTACTTTATTTGTTCTACAAAGCAAAGTTCATAAAGCATCTCATTATTTTAATAACCATAGTATTACTTTTATACTGCAATGAATGCCCTTCCGGAATACTCTCTTTCTTTCTCTCTCTCTCTCTCTCTCTCTCTCTCTCTCTCTGTGTGTGTGTGTGTTTATGTATATAGGTGTGGGTGTGGGTACACAAACACACACACACACACACACACACACACACACACACACACACACCCCTCCTGCACTAGAATCCTCATTTTCATCAAAAACCAGTGCAGTATTACGAAAATTATGGCCCTTACTCCTTGATAACTATCTTGATCTTCATTGAGTGTATATTTGTGGGGGGAGGGATCGATGAAGTACAAGGATGAGCACAAATATTCTCAACAATTTCACACCTTTTCTACAGACACTATTTCTGCAGATGACCAGAAACTAGCTCAACCAAAATCTCCCACATTCAAAGCCAACACTCTTTCTTGTCCACCTTACAGCATGGGAGTTCTTATGCTTATAAGAAAGGACATTTCTCAAATTGTCCCTCAAGATTAATCTCAGGCAAGTCTACCCTCCCACAACAGGGTCATGAGGATATAAAATGAACTAATTCCACACATGCTGCCTCAAATTTAAGATAGTATGCAACTGTAAGTAGACAAACAAGGTGGACATTCTCAACAGAAAACAAACATTTTGGTGGTTTCTTCAAATTCACATTTCATTGAGGAATTCTGATAGATATCTGTGTCACTGAACTGCAAGAGTATTGCAGCTGTTAAATAACACTATAAACATTTCAAGTTATGTGTATACCTGTGGTGGTTTATATTCATTTTTTAAATGGTTTTCCTTTGATGGGGAGCACTGTAAGACACAGAGGTTGAACACCCCTGCTAAAGGAATTTTTGCTACAATTAAAAATCTAAGATCTACATTCACTTTGTCCTCTTTTAGGGACTTGACCAGTGCAGATCCAAAACATATTTTTTTTACCAATGAGATTCAGAAAGGAAATAAAATGTGTGTTTTAAACCCATTCCATAGCTCCAAGACCTATATCACAATTCTACTTGCTTGGGAATAAGCATCACTGAACTCAGTAGGACTTGCTTCTGGGTTGACCCGCATAGGATTGTGTTACATTTATTTGGGGGCATCTTCTGCACACTGCCTGAATATATGCCGATAACGAATTCACCCGGTCAAATACCATGGTTGTTTGCCTGCATTCTTGCTTTAATGTAAGGTTTTCCTCCCTTAAACACCAGGCACCCTAAGGTTTACAAGAGGGCCCAGAAGTGCAAGTGTTCTAGCCTGAAAAGGATGCCCATAAGGTCAGCCCCAAGCAGAATGTATTGCTTACCTTCTTCCTTGCTGTTGGTGATATCTTTCAGCAGCTCTGTCTTCATACAAATCTCTCTTCTGGCTTCTCCTTTATTCATTAGAGCTTGCTAAAAGAAAAAGGGAGGAGAGGAGATTCAGATTCTTATATGCTTATAAATTAGCAAGAGGCACTGCTGAGTAGGACATGCTTTCTTCCCCAAACCAGAGCTGAGTCCCACAGGCAAAAAAAAAAAAAAGTACTCCCAAGTAACTGCAACAAGAAACTGCCAGAAAGTTACAAGGAAGTGTAGTGGTTATATCCTGACCAGATGATCATTGGAGAATGGATAGAAGCAACAATAATCAGATGATTGTTGACACTGACAAATGCCAGCTGTGCAAGACCCACAACTCCCATCAACCCTGACATCATATATGAGCATGGCCTGGCCACATGGAGAGGCTTGGTGGGACTAATTAGGAAAGTGAGTTGGTGGTTTCCCACTGCTGGGTTAAGACAGCTGAGTCTGGAGTCGAATAACTTCAATTCAAATTATTATTACTGTTATCATCACCATTAATTTATCAATTGCCTTCTATAAAATTGTCTGAAGGTGATGCACAATAAAAGTAGCAAAACAAACAAACTAACAGTTAAAAGTACAAAAAAGCAGACAACACATTTAAAACAAAACAAAACCAATATAAACTAGGTACATGTGGCAAAGATCCATTTATCCAGCTGGGGAAACGGAAAGAATCAAACTGTTTTTGGAAAGTGAAGGTAGTGGGTATCTCAATAGGAATGCTAATCTACACAATGGGGGCAGCCACTTCAAAAGCTCTGCTCTGAGTTACTGCAGAGTGGAGCTTCTGAGATCTTTGGAACTTGCAGGAGAAACTCACCTGCAGACCACTAGTTATATAAGGGTTTACGGCAGTCACTGACGTTCCCATATAACCTTCACTAGATGGGTCTAATTCAAGCCAGAACTCTCACCCTAACCTGGTGTTCCTTATATGTCTATCCTCCAGCCAGGAAAGCAAGATGCTTGCCAGCCAGGCAAAAAGACTCAAGGAGGATATGTGGCTGAGGGGAGTGCACTGCCTAAGGTGGCCTTTCTGAACCTTGGGTCCCTGTAAGTTGTTGGACTACAACAACCATCATGCCTGACCACTGGTCCTGCTAGCAAGGGATGATGGGAGTTGTAGTCCAATAAAATATGGAGACCCAAGGTTCAGAAAGACTGGTCTGAGGAGGCTCCCAAAGGCGAGGCAGAGTCCAAGAGAGCCACATTTGTCCTCTAGGTCTGAGGTTTCCCACCCCTGATATAAAAAGAGTCTCTGCTAAGAAGTCTCGGATCTTCAAAAGCTGCTCCCACTCAGAGCAGATAGTTTCGGGCTATCTAGACCAATTCTAATCCAGAAATAAACAAATAAAGCAGCTTCACACTTCCATATAACTTTTTCTCCGGTCTATGTACTTAGGAATACAGGCAATAATAGGCCGAATATAGGAACACAAAAATGAAATGAAGTATCCAGAGGGGGTGGGGATGACGACGATGACAAAAAATATTTCCAAGAAAAGCAAGACTAAGCTAACAGTAAAAATAATCACTTAAGTCCTATAGTGCAGCAGAGTTAAGTGTTTGAAACAAACCCTGGCGATCTAAAAGTTAGGTAACGCATCCAACTCAAAACCTCCAAGTAATTAACGTTAAGAAGAGCCATGCTCAATCAGTCAATGGCACATCTAGTAGAGCATCACATTCTCAAAGATGCCAACCAAACGCCTGTGTGAACCCTTAAAGTAGGACCTGAGCACAAGAGCCCACCTGCCCTTTCCTGTGGTTTCCAGCAAGTAGCATTCAGAAGCATCCCTACCTCCAACCACAGAGGCATAACACAGCCTCCATCATGGCTAGCAGTCGCTGATCCACCTTATTCTCCATTAATCTGTGCAACCCAAGTTAGTGGCCATCACTGCCTCCTGTAAGAGAGGGTTCCACGTGCGGTGTAAAAAAAAGTATTTTCTTTTGTCTGTCCTGAACCTTCCAACTTCATTGAATGTCCGCTAGTTCCAGTGTTTTGAGAGAGAGGCAAACGCTTATCTCTATCCACTTTCTCCATGTCTTGCAAAGTTTCATAAACTTCTACCATGTCACTTCTGACTTGCCTTTCCTCTAAGCTACAAAGTCCCAGGCACCGCAGCCGAGGTGAACTGCTCCATGTCCTTTATCGTTTTTGATGGACAGGAAGACAATCTGGTTCCTCTTCGGAACCTGTTGCTCCACTCCTCCAAAAACAACACAGAAGCAACTGTTTCCTTTCTTCGAAGGTGAAAAAGAAGTCTAGACGAACAACTACGAAAGGTTTTTGCTGCCTGGACATGTGCTGCTTCTGTGTTCAGTGCAGCAAAAGCCATATGTCACCTGGCACAAGGCTGGTGCTCAGCAGCCATTTCTTTTATTGAGTTTGTATTGAATTGCACTGTTTACTTCATTCACTTTCTGCCGTATTTATATCCTATTGTCTTTATGACGTGGTTGTGGCTATTGTAATGCTGGCTAATTTTAATGTCACTGCTATTATTGTGAGCTGCTTTGAGCTGAAGATTGTCACTGGAAAAACAAAATACAACTATTAACTAAATTCAAAAGCTAAAGCGTTTTGTTTTGCAGAACCCTCTCTTCTGCTTGAATTTGTATTGTTCCATTCCATTTGTGTGTTTTATAATTGCAATGGTTTCATTTGCTTTTATAATTGTATACAGTCATACCTCGGGTTACAGATGCTTGCTTTTTTTGGGTTACGGAACACCGAAACCCGGAACTACCGGAATGGGTTACTTCCGGGTTTCGGCAGTTGCGCATGCGCAGAAGCACTAAATCACGCTTTGTGCATGCGCAGACGTGCCGCTGAGGGCTGAAAACGTGCATCCCGCACGGATCATGTTCGCAATCTGAGCATCCACTGTATTCTATTGCTGCAAACCACCGTGGGATCTTATGGCAAAGGTATCTTACGAAGAAATAATAGAAGTAATCCTCCCTATCTCCCAGAGATCTGGGGGAATGGCTATAACCCAGTGGTGGAGAATATTATACGCTTTGCCTGCAGAAAAACCCAACTTCCATCCCTGGCATCACCAGGTTTTTTCGTGTTTATACAAATAATAATAATAATAATAATAAATAATAGGATGAAGTAGCAAAACGTGGGAAATGAACCTGTCTCCACTCAAGACCCCAAAGAGCTGCTGCCAGTCCGAGTTGACAATACTGGGCTAAGACTGACAAATGGTCTGACTCTGTATAACGCTGGTTCATAGGTTCCTGGAAAGGCGCACAGCTCATTTCTGGAGCATCTGCTTTGCCTGCAGAAAGGTCCAGGTTCAATCCACGGCAGCCACAAGTAGGGCTGGGCGAGGTCTGAGCTAGGTGGGCCAATGGTTCCACCTGGCAAAAGACAGCTTCTTATGCTCCTGATAGAGTACAGTGGACGCTCGGGTTGCGAACATGATCCGTGTGGGATGCATGTTCGCAACCCGCAGCATCCGCAACCCGCAGTGGCGCATCTGCGCACGTGCGGGTTGTAATTCGGTGATTCTATGCATGCGCAAAGCGCGATTTAGCACTTCTGCGCATGCACAACTGCCGAAACCCAGAAGTAACCCGTTCTGGTACTTCCGGGTTTTGGCAGTCCACAACCCGAAAAAACACAACCTGAAGCGTCTGTTACCCGAGTTATGACTGTAAACTACTTGGCTGTGCTCAGAAGCAAGTGCACTGTGTTAAATGAATTCTTGCAGACAAGAAGGTATGTGTCCTTTTGCCCCCCAGATCCTTCCTGCTACAGTCAGTGAGCATTTTGCTTTTCCCTCTCACCAGATGTGCCA